GAAAAAATAGGAATTATTATTTATAATAGTGAAAAATTACAAAAACTATTAACCAAACAAGCTAAAATTTGGTAAAAAAGTTGTTGTCCTAAAATTAAAATTTTAAATGAAAAAGAAGCACTTAGTTATTTTAAAAATATACAAAAAAAAAAGAATAAAATGAAAATGATTAAATATTTAAATCTAGAGGCTAAAGAATATTCTATTGGTAATATTAAAATAAAAGGATTTAAAGCTGAAAAATATATTATTTATTCTCTATATTAATATATTCAGTGATCACATTGAATATAATTTTATTTATATAATCAAAAAAATAGGTATTAAAAATTCAAAACCAAATCCAAAAGTTATTGTTGCTTTTGGTTTAATTGCTGTTAGAAAAACAACTTTTTTAAATAGATTAAAAGATTTTTTTGAAAACCAATAATTAAAAGTTTACCTTTCTAAAGAAATATTACTTCAAAATGAAAAAGATTTGGAGTATTTTTATCAAGACACTCAAAGATATGAATTGATATTTCAAGATCTTTTAATCGATATGTATTAGAAAGAGAATAAAATAATCAGAAAAGATGAATATGATATCTATTTAATTGATAGAACTGCCAAGAATACTCGGATTTTTTTGAAATTCTTATTGATGATAAGTTAAAACTTGATTATCTTAAAAAGAAATTGAAAAGAGAAGAAAAAATTAATATTAAATATAATTTTTTTATTAAATATTCTTCTGAAATTTGTTATGAACAAAAAGTTAAAAGAGATAAAAAGGGTGAAAAAGTTTTATTAGAATATTTAAAAACTCTTTGTGATGGTTATAAAAAAAAGACTTCTGAATTATATCCTAAATATATAGTTTTTAATACTGATAAAGTTAAAGTAGAAGAATATAATATATATTTCTAGCAATTATTTATCTAACTAATTTTTAACAGATTAGATAATTAATTATATAAATTAAAATGTATACACATATCTTTTGTCAAGAGCTACAATTATTATAGGAAAATTTTTTATACAATATTGAGTGTGATTATACACTCTTTCATTGGTTTCAAAAAAATACAAGGAAACTTTAAGTTTAATCACTGAATTTAATTATTCTTCAA